AGATATGAACGACTGCATAAGTTTTGCTACTTTTGTGGCTGTATGGGTCACTTGCATACTTTCTGCATACACGCTAGGGAGGCTGGAATTCCAGTCGAAAGGTACCTGTACAGTCCGGATTTGCGAGCTGGTGGATCCCGGAGCGCTCCTAGAGCGGTTGGGGATAGCTGGCTTGTTCCGGTAGGCGGGAAACCACGACCACTGGGAGTCAAGCCACGTGTAGTGGATGGGGGACAGGGAAGTGGGGCTGTCACACCCACGAGTATGTCTGAGGATGAGGTGGTGGTGGCTACGGCAAAGCGTCGTAGACATGGAACCGAGGGGAGATAGGGAAGTGGAAACGATGAGGTAACAACTGCAGCTGTTTCAAAAAACTTGTCCATGGCGGGAGCTGGTGTCCAGCTCCGCCCATCATCATGAGTACTCTGAGCTGGAACTGTCGTGGCTTGGGCAATCCACGCACAGTTCGACAGATTGTGGGCCTTGCGTCCAGTAAGAAGCCTGATTTTGTGTTTTTGATGGAGACCAAGGTACCACGGATACATGCAGAACGGATCCGGGTTACGCTTGGCTATGAAGGTTTGTTTTATGTTGATAACGATGGTTTGAGTGGAGGAATGGCGCTTTTGTGGAAGAAGAATAATACGGTGAGATTTTTAAGCTATTCGCAGAGTCATATTGATGCGGAGGTTAGCTTGTTTAATAAGTTATGGCGCATGACATGCATTTATGGTATCCCCGAGCGTGGTAGGCGGGAGGAGACATGGGATTTACTTGGTACTCTCAAGACTAGATCCTTATTGCCCTGGGTGGTGATAGGGGATTTTAATAATCTACTATATCAGCATGAGAAGAAGGGGGGAAATCCGTATCCTAATAGTCTGTTACGGGGTTTCGGAGATGCTCTGGATGACTGTGGTTTGATGCAAATGCCAATGAGGGGCCATCAGTATACGTGGCAGAAGGGGAAGGGGACGCCGAATTGGATAGAGGAGAGATTGGATAAGGCTTTAATAACGAATGATTGGGGTCTGCTCAATGAGAATGCAATGCTGGAAAATATTCGAACTCGGGCATCGGATCATTCGATCCTATTCCTCAGTATTAATGCGATTTGCATGCCAAGGAGAAGGGGACCGCGGAAGTTCAGATTTGAAATGGCTTGGCTATTGGATGAGGGGTGCAAAGGAGTAGTCGAAACGGCCTGGCAAGAGGGGAGAACGGAGGGATTGCTGCACTGCCAGCAGTTGTGTGGAGAAAAGTTGATGCGGTGGGGTGGAGATCAGTTCCATAAATTTGGAAAGCGAATTAACCACCTGCAGCGGAGGCAAGATGCCATAAGGAATAGACGAGATTTGGTAGCTCTCGCTGAGTACCAACAGATTGAGAATACCATGAAACGAGTAGAGGCCCAGGAGGATGTGTTTTGGAGGCAGCGGGCCAAGCAACACTGGCTACGCGGGGCTGATGCGAATACAAAATTTTATCACAGGTATGCTTCTGCACGCCGGAAAAAGAATTTTATTTCTACTATTAAATGTGATGCTGGTAACTGGGTGGAGGGGGGTGATATGCATGTTGTTATACAGAATTACTTTGAAAATATTTTTGCCTCAAATGAGCTGAGTTGTAATGATCCACTTTTTGGAGTCCTGACCCCACGAGTAACGTTGGAGCAGAATGTGATGCTAGACCGCCCTTTTGAAACTAATGAGGTTAAAGAGACTCTTTTTTCAATGTATCCGGATAAGGCACCGGGGCCGGATGGGTTGAACCCGGGTTTCTACCAGCAGTTTTGGGGGATAGTGGGAGGAGATGTATCTGGTTTTGTAATTAATGCCTTGAATTCCTGTGTATTCCCTGAAGGATTGAATGATACTAACATTGTCTTGATACCGAAGAAGGAGATGCCTGAGACAGTAGCAGATTTAAGGCCGATCGCACTGAGTAATGTCATTTACAGAATTATGGCCAAAATGATAGCAAATAGGATGAAAACATTGATGGGAGGATTGATCTCAGAATCCCAGAGTGCTTTTATCCCGGGAAGGCTAATCACGGATAATATCCTGGTGGCAGCGGAGGTGGGGCATTATCTGAATAGAAAGCAATGTGGTATAGTGGGATGGAGTGCATTAAAGCTAGATATGTCAAAGGCCTATGATAGAATGGAGTGGAACTTTCTGGAAAGGATGCTGACTGTTATGGGTTTTAGTGAGAAGTGGGTAAAGCTCATTATGATGTGTGTAACGACTGTTAATTATACTGTAATGATTAATGGTATAGAAGGGGGGCACGTAAAACCAACCAGGGGACTCAGGCAGGGAGACCCGCTCTCTCCGCATTTATTTATTATTTGTGCAGAGGCTCTCTCGATGATATTACAGTATGAACAGTTGGCAGGGTCAATACATGGGTGCAGAGTAGCAAGGGGGGCACCGCCTGTATCACACCTATTTTTTGCGGATGATAGTCTCCTATTTTTTAAAGCAAATACCCAGGAGGCAGGAGTTATAAGGCAGTGCCTTGCAAGGTATGAGAAATTGTCAGGCCAGGTAGTGAATTATAATAAATCAAATATATGTTTTAGCAGAAATACCCAGGAGGCTGACAGGGCACAGGTGGTGAATTGTCTGGGGGTGGTACAAGCACCAAATTTTGGGAAATATCTGGGCCTACCATCTTTTGTAGGGAGAAACAAGAGAGCTGTTTTTTCGTATGTGGAGGAAAAAATCAGGCAGCGAATTGGTTCGTGGAGTAAAAAGCTACTCTCTCAGGCTGGTAAGGAAGTATTATTGAAAAATGTAGCACAATCTATGCCTACCTTTTCGATGAGTGTTTTTTTGTTACCTGAGACAGTTTGTCAGTCAATTGAGCGAACTATGAATAAATATTGGTGGGGCAGTGGAAGAGAAAGGGGAATACATTGGAAGGCATGGGACAGGTTGTGCATACCAAAAAAGTATGGCGGTATGGGTTTTAAAGAGCTGAGGGCTTTTAATATAGCAATGCTAGGTAAACAGGCATGGCGATTTTTAACAGACCCAGAAACACTTGTAGCCAAAATCTACAAGGCAAGGTATTATCCCACAACCAGTTTTACAGATGCAACTATTGGTAATTGCTCGAGTTATTGTTGGAGAAGTATAATGGCGGCCCATGCAATGGTAGTCTCAGGGGTGCGAAGGAGGATTGGGAATGGACAGACAACCCTAATATGGGGACACCCGTGGTTACGAGACAATCCTAGCCCATTGATTCAAACAGAAATGCCGCAACAATTGAGAGAGGCGCGAGTTGCAGGACTAATTGATTTACAGACTCATACCTGGGATCCGCACATTCTGTCTGATTTATTTATTCCTGAAGATGTGGAACGAATAAATATGATCCCTGTTAGTCCTGAGTATGAGGACTCATGGTATTGGATGAGTGACCCAAAGGGGACATATACAGTAAAGAATGCCTATAGGCATATTGTGGGAGATTATGAGAATAATCCAGCGAATTTTGATAAGTGGATCGCAATGTGGAAATTAAAAGTACCCTCGAAATGGAAAACTTTTTTGTGGAGAGCCATATGTGATATTTTGCCAACAACCCTTAACTTGATATTTAAAAGGGTGGAGGTGGACCCAACTTGCCCTATGTGTGGTTTAGATCATGAAGATGTGTTACATGCTTTAGTGCTTTGTGAATATTCTAGACTTGTTTGGAATATAACACAATTACCTATTATTAATATTGTTGCAGACTCGTTTACAACATGGCTAAAAGGGGTTATGACAGTCTTGACGGAGGAGCAGATCCGGTTAATGGTAGTAATATTATATTATATTTGGAGAACCCGGAATTCAGCTGTCTGGAAGGGATCAATGATGCGGCCTACCCGGTTGGTCAGAGCAGCCACCGTAGCACTGCAGGCGTATGGCACTGCTCATGTTGGCCGAACCAACCCGACACCGGCGACGGACCACGTGAATGGTTCAGGAGGGGGTGGTCTACGATGTTATGTGGACGCGGGTTTCCGGCACGACACGGGCGAGGCTACTTACGGCATGGTAATTATAGTGCCAGATGGCTCGTTTGTGGCAGCGAGGAATGGCAAGTTACCAATTTGTTTTTCACCACTTATGGCGGAGGCTCAGGCATACAAGGAGGCTTTGTCCTGGCTACTTGAACGGGACACCACATCAGTAAGTTTACTCACGGATTGCATGGAATTGGCAGCGATATTCAGGCACCATCATACGCCGATCCATTCGTACGTTGGGGTCACAGTTGACCAGTGCAGGACGTTTATGTCGTTATTTAATCGTATTACTTTGGATTATATTTCTAGGCAGGTTAATTTACATGCGCATACTTTCGTTATTTAATCGTATTACTTTGGATTATATTTCTAGGCAGGTTAATTTACATGCGCATACTTTAGCTACGTTAGCATTTACTCAGGATCAAACTATGTACTGGGATGCTATCCCACCTGACACTATTTCGGCTTTGATTCATTAATACAATCGCAAGATTGACCTTCAAAAAAAAAAAAAAAAGTCAGAATTAATGATAAATTATATGTGAAATCAAAAAGTCAGAATTAATGATATGGCCTAAAACACAACATTAACAGTGTTTAGTTGGGTAGAAGGAATTATAAAAAGAAAAAAAATTGTAATTCAAGAAAAGAATAAGATTAGAATAAAGTAAAAATTCAAATTACATTGTTTGATAAGAAAAAATAAAAGTATTGAGAATGAAAGAAAAAAAGTGGTATAAATAATAAAATTTTCTTGTATAATAATAATAATAATAATAATAACAACCAATGATACTTTTCTTATTTCATCCCTTTTTTCTTTTCCTACAATCATTGAATTGCAATTCATAGGAGTATCCATGAATTGCAATTCAACAAAAGAAGAGAATTGTGAAATTACAATTCCCTCCAACCAAACACTGTAATTTGCCTTGCCATGAAATAAAGTGAGAAAGGAATTTCAAACACTATCCAACCAAACACCCCATAAAGAAACAAATAAAAAGCAAGGTTACAGTCTTACAGATACATCTTGCTAAAATCTGATTTTAGCACACAAAACACTCCCAAAAAAATGAAAATAGTTTTTAATAACAGTATTGATCTATTATTCATTTGCACCAGCAGCAGGACCAACAAGTACTCCCTGTGCAGACCCTTCCTTTCGCCCACTCTCATCCTGCACTTCATCCTCTGATTTCCGGATCCTTATTTTGTACTTTGCCTCGAACTCAGAAATTTCTTTTTTCTTCTTCTCCAAGGCTTCGTTGAGCCGAGCAATCAATTCCTCAATCCCCTCCTTATTGCGCTGAACAGCGGGCAACACTTCTTTGATGCTTCTCTCAACAAGAACACCTCCAATCAACCTGTAGCACCGCCTTGAAGGATCAAGTGGCTGTATAGCATTCATCACGAGACTGTGTTCACTAACTTCCATCTCCAGTTCGGTGATTTTGGAATAAATTTGGTTCATCTCAGATCTTAAATTACCATATATGCTCGCAACCGCTTGCTCATTAATTGGTTCCTTCACATTTTCAGCTTTTGCAGCCATGTATGTATTACTGAAACAGGCAACATAGAGTTATTCATAGATCTGATCTTCATATTCATGTTAGAATTCCAGACTGCTGGCAAATGAAACAAATTTAATTTGTCACAGACAGGATCGGGCTTCAAACCCACAATTTTCACATCAAATTTCACAATATGAACTTTGAACTGGGGGGGTATATGCTGGAAGAAAGTCAATCCCAGGTTTTCATTTTGAATTCAAATGACAGAATGTGTTTCTACATTATCTTATCCTATATGACAATGCAAAGGATAATGTGAGCTCAAACCAGAAACTCTGTTTAACATACCATTACTGTTGCATTCTACATTATGTATCAAGCAATTAAATATTTGGTCAGGCTAATATTGTGTGTGGTCTTTGTTTGTTGAACTAAGTTACCCCTTTTGGTTCGTTGACTATACTGATTAGGAATGGACATTTTGGTTTTCTGTTCGGTTAAAACCATTCCGTTTAACATTGTAGTTTGGTTCAATTTTAAACAGTTCAATTTTTGGCTGGGATTTGGTTCTGTTTGGTTTGACATACATGCTTGGATTCACTATCACATATTCACACCAAATAGCAATATTTTTACAAAAGAACAAAAATAGTTTGCATTGGAAAGACACATTTTTGTTCAACATAAATGCACAAGGGTTGTAACACTAATCTACAAAAGTATGGAATCCACCAATGAAACTATCAAAGTTGTAATCTTTCTGCTACAACTGCTCTTTGGAAGTTCAACACTATCATAGTTTCATCCATAGTATGTATATTCATGTCTAAACGTTGAAAAGAGATTTGGGGAAAATTGGACACACATTATGCCATTTCAATATAAACTATTTTTCTTATAATTGTAGACGAATTATTTTACATGGTATAAAACAATTTTCAAATTCACATACTATCGGGCACCACCGCAGCCGGCCTGCTACAGCTCTCCGCCACAGCAGCCCCAAGAGGCCGCAGATCTCCGCCACAGCCACAGCCGCAGCCGCAGCAGGAGCCTGCAGCCCTCCTCCGTCGCCCTAAGCCCCTAACCCGACAGCAAAGGTTAAATAATAAAGAAAAAAAACTCACCAGCGTCCAACCTCGCGGCGTCGTCGGGATGCGATTCTGTCAAGAGGAGTTGAAGAATGAAGACGATGCGTATGAACGATAGAGTACTAGGGCTCACCGGTTTAGCTTGTATACGGAGTAATTAAAATTTGAGAAAATTGTCAAATAAACCCCTAAATTTTATACAAGAAATTAATTAAATCTCTTAATTTTTAAAAGTAACAGTTAAACAAATTAATTTGTAATTTTCATATATTTAGACTCAAAAATCGATTAACTACCTATAATATCAATAACATTCTACGACTCTACGTGGTGGTTGACGTTTCATTCGTTTTTTAATAATAAAAAATAAATCAATATTTAATTTTAAAATTTTAAAAAAAATTCCCGTTGAATGAAATCATGGTTGCTTTCTTCGTCTCCAGATTTGAAGGCAAAGAAAGATAATATTTTTATTTTTAAAAGTTGAAGGCGGTCATGTCTGCACTTCTTCGTCTTCAGATATGGAGACGAATAAGGAGAGCCATTGTTGGTTGAGGAAGACGATGCCCCCCTATTTTGGCCACAAATGGATGTTGCGGCGTCGGTGGTAGCAACGATAGATACGGTGGAAGCACGATAATAGTGATATTCAAAAGTACATCTACTTATAGTATTATTAATATATATTTAGGTTATTTATTTTGATTTTGATTTTGATTTTTTTTTTAAGTTTGCATATGTGGTGAGTTTAGATGACCCTACGTATGATGTTATCGACATTTATAAGTAATTAATCAATTTTGGGTTTGAATGCACGAAAATCTTGAGCTCATGTGTTTTATTGATACTTTTAAAAGTCCATAAGCCTAGTTGACTTATCATATAAAGTTCAAAAGTTTCTTTGACCTTTTTTTTTTCCTTAAAATTGTAATATATATAATGTGGAATAGTATTGGCAATCAAAATTTCTTATTTCTATAATATGATTAATATCAAATATGACAAGTAAAATTGGGAACCAAAATTTCTTATTTTGGTACAATTGTAAAGCTCACTCTGTTTTAAAAAAAAGTTGTGTATTTTTTTTTTTAATTTCATAAAATTGAAATTTTCAACATAACAATTATAATTGACATTATAGAAATAAAAATTTGACTTTTATAACAAATTTAAAAAGTAGGACTAAATGTGACAAATAAGAAGATTCAAAAAAAAAAAAAAATGTGACAAATAAGAAAAAACAAAATTGATTCTTCCCACGAAAATATGAAAAATGCAGAGTGTAACAAGTTTGGCACAATCTTTAGGAACAACATACATGGATCACTAAAAGTAGGGTACATATTTTGCACAGTGAAAGAATTTTCTGCATTTGAAACACCATTTCCTACTGTCTTTATTATTGTATACATCAACATAACATATATCACCAAATAAATACACACTCAGGTAGGTAGGTAGGTATACATGAAAAGACACAAAGCAACCTCAAAATGGTTAATACAGATGTTAACAAAAAAAGAAAAAGAAAAAGAAATCCAATCACACAAATCTGTTAAATGGTTTCCTCCCAACTATAGCTGGCATAGAAACAGTTGAATCCACACTCACTCCATCTCCACCTTGCTTCTCTGTTTCCCTTTGAGGAGTAGTAGGATCTTTGCTGGAGCCTCTGTTCCACTTGAAAGATGCGATATTCGGGGTCAAGGGAAAGGAAAACCTCCGCTTTGAGTCATTTGTCGGTGTTCCTGCAGCACTACTTGTACTTCTCTCCCTCGGGTTGCTACTTGCTCTTGCTTTGGCCTTGGCAGAGACGGTAGGCGCCATGTAACTTGGGACCGAGAATGGAGGGCAGCTTGTTAGGCTATCGTCGTCCTTCAAGGGGAAGTCGAAAGGGGAACGAATGCCACTGCCTCTAGGTTGCATCAATTTGGCTAAACTCGAGCTGGGCGGGGTTGTTCTGCCAGGAGTGCTGAACTGTTTGCCTCTCACAGGAACTGCAGATTTTGAGGATGTTGGTGTGCCTGCTTCGTGATTGTCGTATCCACTGTTTTGGGGTTTGAAGTTGGTAGCTGGAAGTCGAGGACTAGGTGGTTTGCGGTCTGATACCGGCCTAGGTGGTGTTAGGTGGACATTTTTCACAGCAGACTGGTTTTCTGAAGGATTGGCGGCTGCTGCTGCTGCTGCAGGAGGAGGCAGCTGGCGTTCTAACCAGTTCCACCACCACGGGTATCCACTGGATCGGATGTCTAATGCCGACTTAGGATTGCCTTTCCACAACTGGAAAAGCTTAAAGAGTTTTATAAGTATATGAAACAGGCCAAGATAAATTTCTATATTACAACAATGTTGGTAAGTATTTGAGGAAAGACTTTGATGGGATATGGATATGGTCCAAGAATGGAGATCTGGGAGCCCAAACCCGGGGCTAGCAGAGAGGGATGTTCCGAGGAGGACGCGGGGGGCCTGGGTAGAGAGCAAGGGTCCCCAGGTCGCTAGCCATTCCTGCCTCGAAGCCCGTCTCCGGGCCTGGAATGATGGACCTTGACTTAGTCACACAGCCTACCGTGTGGGCCTTGACTTGGTGTCACGACCCACCGCAATTTTAGGAAGTTTGTTAGGTTTTTCCGACCATTGTCTTGGCCCAGACAAATCATGTCCTATTCTATTACAATACACTACTTGTAATACTCTAGCATTAATCTATGAAATATTACTACAATTTTTTTATTACTATTTTACCCTCATACCCCGGGTCAATTAGTTCCATCGAACTTCTAGAAGGCAGGCAATCAATTCCCAGAATGATTTGAAAAGAGAAACTTTTGCACTTCTATATATAACCTTTCTCACCAGAAATCTACACCCTACTGTACCTGATGAGAATATGCATAAGCCATGGCTCGCTCCCTCTTGATAACTGCCTCCACTTTTCTTCTCCACCTTTCTTCAATTTCATCTTTGGTTAGCGTGCTATCATCCCAATTTTCGTGGTTACCTGCCTCAGTCTAAACCGAACAAAACCTCGTTAGCTAGTGCCAGGAAAAAGTCGGTTTTGTAATGTAATGGCTACTAATGTTAATCAAAACACCCGACAAAGAAAGATAAAAGATCTCTACCAAAGAGCCATCATCAATCAAATAAATGACATGGGTGACTTTGATGTGTGTCACTCGGTCCATATAAGATAGCCAGCTGAATATTACTAATTAGAATGGAGATTTAACGTATATGGAATGTTACCAGTTGGGTCCATTTGCTCAGGGTGCTCTCACCATCCTTGTCATTCTTTAAAGCTTGGGACTGAAGCGCCTGGTTTTCCAACATTTGGATCCTTCGAGACTGAATTTGCGTTTGAACCCTAACCAAAAGCTGCATTTGTTTCATGGCGTTCACGGTTTGCTTCTTTACATTATTGCCCCTCACCACTCCTTGAAGCCTCACTAAACCCCTCAAAGCTCTGAAACTCCTCCTTGCCTGTCAAATACCAAAAGGAATGGTGGGACAAAGGGGGAGTGGTGGAACCTAAATATGGTGCACTCCAAAGTATTAGTTAAGTAGAAGATTACCATATAACCCCTAAAGGCTGCTTGGATCGTGGTAGCTGAGACATGAAGCACTTGTAAAGTTGGTTCTGGTCTATGGACGTAATTCACTTCTTTGCGGTGCTGGTTTGACTTAGAAGAAGCGGCCCTCGGGGAAGCAGCTCGTGGAGACGTAGCCCTAGGAGAAGCAGCTCGTGGAGTGGTAACTCTTAGAGAAGCAGCCCTTGGAGAGGTGACCCGAGGAGGAGAAACAGGTCCACGAGGATAATCCCGGGGAGAAGTAGCTCTTGGTGAAATGATCCGTGGAGAGGCTGGCCTCCCGGATGAAAATCTGGGCTGTTCAGAGGAGAGAGGAATAAGTAGTCTCTGCTCATCTGCCTCCCCCAATATCTTCTCAATACTGCTCGGTTCTCTGAAGAGTGGAATAAATGATTTGCTCTCTCCATGTTTTAGTACTCTTCCCTTCTTTTCCTTAGAATTTTTCTTCTCTGATGCCTGACAAATTTTAAAACACTAAGGTAATGGAAAGGTAGCAGCAGAGATCGATCGAGAGCATATATATAAATGCTCATCTGTATTATTTAGACAGAATGGAAGCATTTTCAAGATTATCAAAGCAAGGGGTTTCCTCAAAATTTACAGATTTCTATGACGAGTAAACTATCAATCCTGCCTGTCAAGAAAACGCTTCCCTTACATGAATTTGCTTATCCTTGGAAGTGTTGGGTGTGAAAACTCTTTTGATGGCAGAAAACCAACTGCCTTTCTTACCCATGTTCCTTGCATTAGTATTTCACCCTGGAACGATAATAAAAATATATTTATCAGCAATTCGATCAATAGTTCATATTTTCTGCTGCTATATTAGATCTTAAAACATAACAAGTTCAGTATGAAATCTGAACAGAAGAAGCTAAAACACATTAACATGAACAAGGATTATAAAATCATTAAAAAAAAAACTTTATAAGACGAAATCCATTATGCCTAAACAAACGAAACCGTTAACTATGAGATGAAATAGGAGCAAGCTAAGGTTGAGTTCACTAACCTTGAACACCATGATTCCCAGGCCTTTTTATATTCTGCTCCCCACCCACCCCCTTCTATGTGGTTGGGGATTATAATAGTGAAAATGGTAGAAAGCAAGATATAATTATAACAACCATAAATTAGGAACATCAGGTAACTGTTCAAACAAAATTCAACCTTCAAGAAATAGTAGAGCATCACAATTTTCAGATCAACTCTACACAGACACACAAATAGAGCCTATAAATTTCTGCAAGAAAAACCTAATAAAAGAAATTGATATTACTAATTTTGCTGTACATGTTTGATCTTGATGCAACCCACCCAAGAACAAATAACAGAGAAGATGGGGACAGGGTGAAAGGAGTTCTGGAGCCTAAGAGTTGACACAGAAATAATTCATTTACTCTCTGAATAAATGAACACTGCAAGATATTTTTGTCTTTAGTTCCTGTCAATATTAAGAGTTTAACATAGAGAAAAAAACTGAACTTACAGACCCAAAAATTTTCACATATCACCCACAGAGAGGGGAGTTCAAGATTAAGGAAACAACAAGAATTGCCTCAACAAATATAATCTTTCCCATGAAAGGAAAAGCATGGAATTTAGATCAGGAAAACTGAAGAAAAAAAAAAAAAAGCTGACTTACATAATTAAGAACTCATAGCATGCATGATCCCAAGAACATAATTTACAAAAGAAACAGTATAATTTAAATCACTAATAAGCAAGATTTATATGCACCTCTCAAGTGTTTTTTTGCCCATCTTCCATAACCCTTTGAAGAAATTAAAGCTGCAATCAACCCAAAAGCACAATTCAACTCAGTTTTCTGTCTACCTCTTTCTTTCTTTCTTTCTCTCTCTCTCTCTCAAGAATTCTTTTTCCCTTTCTCTTTCTAGCCGACCTCTGCTTTGCTAGCACTGGTATACAATGTTAGCATGACATCTTTAGAAATTCCTGGGTTCAAACTTGGCTAACTACCTTTTTTCTTTTCTTCCTTGAATTTGATTCTTTGTTGCTTGCAAGGCTATATTTTTCTTATTTGTTTTATGTCTGCTATTATTACCCCTCTTTTTCCCATTCTCCTAACTTTCACCTTTTTAGAGTTTTTATAATTTCTTCTTTATGGGTGTAAAATGATCATTGATGATGAAAGGTAGGGGGGTGGGGGGCCTGCAGTGCAGGGGGTTGCCCACTTTATTACTCAATGCCACTTGGACTGCTTCAACCAACTTTACTTCAACAAGAAGACTATTCTATTTTTATTTTATTTTTTTCTCTTTTGATTTTATAGCTCTAACAACAATTCCCACCATTCATTACTTTAAACCACCTGTTAGTGTTAGTGTTAGGTTCACTATCCTTTGGATCATTTGAGAATGACATTCATTTCCATATCTTAGGTATTTGGTGGGATTGTACATAGATTATGCATTTATTATTTTATCCCTTAACTGTTTTGGAAAGTTTCACAAGCTTAATGCCTTATGTACATTGCAATTCAGCTTTCCCCTTCCATTATTTTGCCAAGAAAAGGGTGTTTAATGGTAGAGGTCTAAGATAATCCTGCTAGAATATTTTGCCCCGAAAAGAGATATTTAATAGTAGAGGTCTAATACAACTCACTAGAAATCACATGCAGTAACATTAAAGGAAACAAATAAAGTTTCGTTTTATGTAGAAACTCGTTAAGTAGAGTAAACGTTTTACTAAAGTCATTAATATAATTTCATTGCTTGTGACAAGAGAAAGAAAAAGGTAGGAAGAAAGGTAGTCTTTGGTGGTTACATGTTTTGGAGGGAGGGTGAGAGATATTTTGGGGGTAAGTAATTATAGAGAAATCTATTTTCATTATCCTATTCTCTAATGTATAACTAAAGCCGGGAGGTATAAACTTCAATCATTATACCATAGGCCATGGTGCCACTGATATATGTTTCATTTTTAATTTATTAAATGTTCAGTTTATTTCTTTTGTGTATTGAAAGTTCAATTCATTATTTGGTATACTACAAAATATTGAATACTTAGTACATAAAAAGCCTTTAGTATAATAAAAAACGAACATTTATCCATGGTCTATATTATAATTTGCCTATAAACTTTGAAAATTTGTCTTTCAAACTCCAAATTATGTTAAGATTTAATTGATTTGCATAGGTAGTTCAACTGGTCATAGAGGTGAAAAGTTGGAAGAATGACCAGTGAGGGGCTCCTTGTGCGCAGTAAGCAAAGGTCTTTAATTGAACTTAACTTTTTAGATAGAATTTATTGTGTTTGTCTAATCAAGACCGCCACACTTACCATTTACTGGTCTCCGCTCAACAATTTCATCTCCTTGCATCAGTCTTAAGTGCTCCTTGTTAGGATCAGACACTTATCACTATACCAAATACTATAGCTAGTAGAGGAAACACAATTTTATTTTCTTATACGGTCACGCATTTTCGAGAATCAGAGTGCTGGACTTGGCCTTTACTGACCTCCGCTCAACAATTCCTCTAGCCTCATAGTGCTCGACTTGATCCTTACTGGTTGATCTCCGCCCAATAGAGTTTATGAAGAGATAGTAAAACCTCGTTTTAAATTCCAGCAGTAGTCAGGGAGGGTATGGTATCTTGGTACGTACAGTGGCAACCAACGAACTGGTGTTGGATCGGCTCAAATTATTTAGTAATATTTGCATGTTTTGGTTGAACGACATCCTCATTTTTCTCTTTTTAGTTTTATGAGAAACGGTCAAAAATGGGTCATCATGTTAGTTTGTTGTTAGAAGCAGTGGTCCCACGCCAATCCCAGGACATGTTGGTTGGGTGTTGATATGATGCCATTCATTGCCCGCACGGAGATTCCTGTATCTATGTTTCTCTGATCGGCCTTTTACTGCATATTCAAGTTATGAAGCATCTTCCACCAATTCCATAGCAAAGGTCTAATATTTGAGTTCAATTGAGTTACCATAATTTATATTATACCAGATGTTTTGTCAGTGTGAGAGGCCCTTAGGGTTGGAGATTCACCCTTTGGGGAAGAATAACTATATATGATATGTTGCAGGCCTCTTAGAGCGGATAAATGTTATGGCCCTGTTTGTTAAAAAATTAGCTTATAGGTCAATTTTGGCTTATTTGACCACTGTTAATTGTTTGATTTAGTTAAAATATCAATACAAGTATTTGGTTAATTAGTTTTTTTTCAACTCCGAAATGCTAAAACTCAAAAAGCTACTCCAAACAACTTTTTCAATTAGCTTTTAGAAAAGAAATTATACCAAACAGCTATCAACTAACAGCTAATTTACCAAACACTTTTATATAATCAGTTAATGTTATCAACTAATTATACCTTCTAATTAATACAATCAGCTAATAGCTAACAGCTAACAACTATCAGTTAACAACCATTTACCAAACAGAGCTATATGTTTGGAACACATTCTCACTCAAAATGTTTGGAAGTCATTTCCATATGTAATTAAAATTGGAGTTAATACCCATTTTGGTCCCTTGATTATTGAGTATTGCTTAATTTAGTTTTTGACTTTGAAAATGACCCAATTTGGTCATTTGACTTTAAAAATCAACTCAATTTGATCCTCCTTTACAAAATTTGTCAAAAATCTGTTAAATTGAAGGGTAAAATGGTCAATTCACTATGTTTCACTCCCACCCCCCCCCCCCCTCCTCTTAGTATTTACTTTATCTTCTTATGCGTTATTGCCAAATATGAAGGAAGATTAGCAATCCAAATAACAGTTTCAAGGTCAGACCTAGCTGGAGAAATGACGGCAATGTTAGTAGCAGTGATGCCAAGCTGGCTAAATGTGCAAAAACCGGGTATGCATTCTCCAGGGACAGAGACAAAAAAACGACGTGCAACCGAGGAAATCCATACATCGAGTCGTACTATAACTCCATCGACTACTTCGACGAATACATGTGAAGTGTCGCTTGGTTCTCAAACATTCCACTATTTTACCCGGTTACTACACCCCTACCTCCGCCGCGGAAACCCTTAACAATGTATTTTGTATATGTTTATTCATAGCCTGCTGGAGCTTATTTATACAGGAAGAGTAGCAAGAGATTAGGGAACAACCAAAAGAATAGGCATAACAACCTCTAACCCACCTAGTAAGACTCTAACTGTTCTATATATATATATATATATATATATTAATTGGGATCAAATGAGAACTACTCTCCCGTGGCAATGTAAGAACTAATCTCATCTGTTCATCAAAGATGATCAATGGCTAAAATTAAAAAAAAAAAAAAAAAAAAAAAAAAAAAAAACGCGGTGACACTTTTGTAATTACATTTGTGCATTTAAAAAATAATTGACAATGAATTTGGAGAGAAGTATGAAATATCCTCGAATTCACAATCAGGAATTACAAGAGGCACAATCCTAATTACATAAATGCTATCTTTTTTTTTTTTTTTTTAAATACTTAACATAGTGTTTGGAGAATGTTTTAAGATACATAATCAAAAATTTCATGATGCATAATCATAATTACAAAAATACCATCATAAAAAATGCCACACAAATTTTTTTAAAAAAATCTCTGAATAGTGAAAATTACTCAATCATTCCTTAGCTTCTAGATTTTGAATAATCATAAGTGTAACAGTGCCAGAATCAAACAAAATGGTATTGCGACAATGCAACAGTATACATTTTGAATATATTTATCACACACTTATATTTATTTGTAATAAAATTTAATGTTTTGTATAAAAATTTAGAACAATTATAACATTTTTTATGGAATATTAATAGACAACACGGTTGTATCAATGATAAGAAATCAAAATTTGTTTTAAACGACCTGATATTATTTGATTTAATTTACAAAATTAGTAAATATTACGGAGTAATATTTATCACGAGTTTAGTTGACGTGGAAAATATTTAGTAAAAGAAACATTTAGGAGTATAGGTGTAGATATATGATATATGATATAGTTGGAAGGCATGCATTATAATTGATTTTGATTAGACAACCACCACCCTTGATTAAGCAATGTGAGTTCCCCACGCATACCATTTCTTTAAGAGTGGCTTCTAAGCTAAATAATTACTCTAATCTAAAATGATACTATATACCAACATATTCAAGTACTACAAATAACACCTAGCTAGGCTGTAATGTTAATTTTGTATCAGTACGCAATCTATATAAAACTATTTAAATTCTTTTCAACCTTATAATGAAAACAAAAAATAAATTCACATATGGTCACGATCGAATTTGATTTTTACCAACATTTCTTCGATCAAGTAGTCCGTTACATAAGGTTTTTTTAGTGTGGTTTAATTTATCTCTAATGTATGATTTAGAGGCTATTACACAGAAGCAAAGTTTACATAATGCACATCTTTAGATAGTGATGGTGGGTTTCTCTCGTAACGAATAATAACTTGATCATCCATTTTATTGTGAATTTGTACAAGGGGCAGTGTCCATCAGTACCTTATAGCCTTCTATATTATTTATATTATAATGGGAAAATGACACTTTTTCCCCCTAAGTTATATACTTATAGCACTTTTTCCCCCTCAATTATTTATGTAAGCACATTAGCCCCCTCAATTATTTTAAAAGTGGCGGTTTTTCCCCCTGATATATTAAATTGACATTTCTACCCTTAAAGTAAACATTTTATTTATTTTACTTGATTACTTCTCCAACAAATTATTGTGTATATGTAGCAATGATCACGGTTCGGTTCGAACTGAACCGGATACTATAGCAATCGAATTAAAAGTTTTCGGTTATGATTCAGATCTAGAATCCAATATTTAGATTTCAATTTATTAAATTTATGAACCAAAAAAACTGGATCATGAACCGTGAATCGGCGGTTCCGGATCCGGTTCGCAATTTTGAACCGTTTTTATTTTATTTTTTATTTTAAAATAGTCTAAATTCAACAATAAATTATTTTATTTTTTCAGTTCGGAACATGAACCGGCCATTTCGATTTGCGATTTTAATAAACTCTAAATATCGCGTACTGATTCTAAATTGTAATTGGAATATTTTGGTTTGGTTGCTATAATATCTGTTTGGTTTGAACCAAATTATAGTAATAATTTGTTGGAGAAGAAAAATAAATGAAATATTTATTTTAAATATTTATTTTAAGGGTAAATATGTCCATTTAACATTTTAGGGGAGAAAAGAGCCACTTAAATAATTCAGGGGGAGAAATGCTATAAGTATATAACTCAGGGGGAAAAAGTACCATTTTCCCTATTATAATTAAACAAAAAAAAAATAAAATGGCTAGCAAATTTCCTGCATGTAGCACGCAACTTGTTGGGTTCAGGCGTGCAGTGCATGACTTTTTTTTTTTGGCGCGTGCGCAAATGTGCAGGTACAAAAATGTATCCGTGCGTTTGCAAATAGAAGTTAATTTGGCAAATTATATTTTCGACCATGAATAAATGTACAGTTTTTAATATAATATACTGAATTTACATTATTTATGTACTACCAAATAATGTATTTTCAGTACTCAAATAATGTATCTTCAAAAAATAAACTTTTAGTATATTAAAAATGTATATTTAGTATAATAAAAATATATCTTATGTCAATGATTCACCTTACAATATGAATCATGGTCCATGGTATAATGATTGAGCGGAAATACTCTATTCAATTGCAAGCTAATAAATATATACACTGGTTGCTCTAAAAATTCTCTCTTTTTTTTTCTTTTTTTTTTTTTGACAAATATGTATAATTATATAAGAAAAAAAAGACAAAAATTTTGTCCTTAAATTATTGGAAAAACAACACTTTTTGTTCCTCAATCATATTTGTGTAACTTTTCATCTCTTAGTTGTCTATGAAGTGATTTTTTTTAGGTCCCTAAGTTATGTTAGATCGAGTTGGGTTAAAAATTAAAATACACTTGACATACAACTTAATGGATGATAAAAGTCATTCTACAGACAATTAAATAACAAAAAGTAGCGATAGTATAATCGAGGATAAAAAGTATTATTTTCTTATAATATAAAGACTATAAGTGTTATTTTCAATCTCCATCCATTTGATTTAATAAATATAACATATTAATTGATCAAGTATCGAACTTATATCTATTACTTTAATTATTTGAAAATTGACATTTTGTAGAAATAAATGATTGGACAAAAAGTACATATATGTACCCAAACAACAAAGGCATAAGCTAAAGCTACACAATGCAAGTAGTACAAGGTAGGTGGTCATAAGAATTAATATACAAGTTATATTGCATGTACGACTTTCCATTCTTACTCTCTCACTTTTACTCTTTGATGTGACAGTCATTGATAAGCTATTATTTTATATGGACTACAGTAAAAATGTCAACATCAAAATTTTGAGTATGAGAGTATACATCCTAGCCTCTCGAGCTCAAACTACGACTCAGCTAAAACCATTCTACTAAGAGGACTAGGACCAAGCTGTGTCCTGCTCCTAATGCCATTTCTTCTCCTAATAACTTCCATCGCATTCCTCCTCCTAACCTGCCACATTGCTTCTTCTTCAATCACAAACCTCCTCATAAGAACATCATCCCTCAATGATTTCCCGCGAAAAACTCTCCTTCCCTCCAAGGCAATCGTGGCGGCTCGGCCGCCGAGGAGGAGTGTTTGGTGGGGGGTTGGTGGTGGGGGCTTGGCTCTTAGGTAGATGCTGCTAGTACTAGTCCTGTTGGTTGAGGTTGATGATGAAACTATGTCGGCTTGGAGGACCGGCGGCACGTAGGTGTAGGAAGAAATTGGGACGCATAGACAGACTCTAGTGAGGGAAGTTGTCACACTTAGTATGGTGCATTTTTTTACCTTGTGCTTATTGTTGGAAATTATCTGATCAGCTGGTTTCCAGATTGTAGTAGTGTTTCTGGTTGTGGGGATTTCACTTGGCTTTGATGCAATGGTTTTGCACAAAAGTGCCATCTCCATTGCTCTTTGGTACCAAGCTTTCCTATATATATAACAACTTAATTAATTTTCGTACTGTATGTCACCCTAATATATTATACACGAAACTCTATCAAATTTCGTTACACTTGCATGATGAAAATGTGAAAGTAATTTTTTTTTGAAAACCTGTGAAAGTAATTAATATCATACTATCACATTAATTAAAGCAAAGTTTGTTTGGAGAATAGACCAAATGTGGAATCAATTTGTATTCTAGGCTAGGGAATAAATCTATTCCACATATTGGTTCATTTTTTAGACTTTCATCAACTTTGTACGAATTTATAATAAGTCTGTAAGAGAAGTTAAAAGAAATATTTGTAAATTTTTAAAAACTATTTTCATATTAAAAAGTCTACAAAAGGCATTAGAACTCTAAATGAGATACACCCTTACAAACATTTCATAACTTTTATTAATATATACATTATTAGTAAATATTTAATGCATCGTCGGCATATAGAAGTTATACAACATCATTAAACCAGAATGGCAAAATGCAATATATATGTCGTTAAAAAAGTTAATATTGAGCAAGCCATTTTCTACAAATATTAATAATCTTTCAATTATCAAAATTAATTTATTAAATAATTAAGATTTATTCATTATTAAAAATATTATTACCTCTAACTAAATTATCATATAAACAACGGCCAAGTCATGATTGATCGAGTACATCCCTAAGATCTGCTTAACTCTCGGTATGTCAATTTTATACGCTATAATTTTTATTTTAAAAACATATATTAATATTTGTGTCTCGTGAAATAAGATTAATATAATCAAACCTCTATAGTGATATAGATAGATATACAGAGTATGATTTTGACAGAAATATATGTTGAATAATGAGGAGCTCAGAAAGACCATGACTTGGCCAAGTTGAAGTCATCCAAAACAGTACAATAGGTCAACTGGAGGAATTGAAGTGTTAGAATCGGTCAGTGGTCTCAATTCAAGACTAGAACAAGTCTCATGTCTTAATTAATTAAAAGACCGGCGACCATTCATGTTCATATATACTTTATACCACTTGGACAACGGTCTTGTAACCCATTACCAACTTCATTTCTTTAACTCTAATAATAGAGTTAAAATATACCCGAATCTCAAATTTTAATGAACTTAAAATAAAGTGGTTAATGCTAAAAAACTAAAAAGAAAAACACGGATAAGGACTAATAATCTTATAGAATCAAATTTTAGAATACTAAACTTTATCGTCCCTAGTGTGAGATCGAGGTAGAGATGTTACCTTGCTGGTGTTGTCTGGTTTGGATCTTGCATGAACAGAAAAGAAACAGGAATGTATATATATGCAACAGATAAAAGAGAACCAGAAAAGGATCGGAGAAGAAGAAGAAGAAAGCTCAAGGGATCAAGTCTACCTTATGGCTTCAACTAGAGTTGGCAATGCATTCTTTTCCCTCATTTGTTTAAAAACTACAATATTCTCTCCCTTTTGCTTTGGCAAGCATGAATGTCCAAAGTAACTCTGCTGCTTTTTTTTTTTTTTTCTTTAAAAAAAAAAAAAAAAAAACATAACAAAAACACCAGTTGGCCCTACTCCACACTCACTTTAAAGACCCCAAACATATATAAACTTATGCCAATATGTTTCCATATATAAATTTATGCTTAAACTAGAAATACTTTATACAGAAAAGATAGAAGTAATAAGAAAATAAGTGAGGGTGGTGTTTATACTATAGCCAGAAAATCAACTTGCAAATGGATGACATAATGATATAATCCCTGCATGTTTTAGGGGGGATGAACACTAAAGCTGGCTGCTGCAAATATTATAATACACATACACATTATGATTACAGATCACAGATGTTGGCTAAGGGATCAGCATAGCATCACACCCAAACTAATGCTTTCATTAACATCTCATATTAACTTAATCTTTAATTTCATCATTTAAACCATTCAATTATATATATATATATATATATATATATATATATATATATATATATATATATATATATATATATATATATATAGAATGACTCAAATAACCATACATGCATTGTCAGGTCATTTAGCTAGGCCATTAATCTCTGGACCACTACATCCAAGATCTATGTACTGTACAGATTCTTGTGTTGTGTATATTCATGTGACAGATAACAGAAGAAAAATAAATTTGTATATTGCTGCTAATTTAATTTTTAACATACAACACAAGAAAATTCTCGTTTTTATGGAAGCTGAGATCAAGCACCAGCCTCAGAGCTACAAATTTCAACCTAGAAAAATCCATATGTTAATGTTCCGCTAACAAAGAGTAGAGTAGAGAAAAGAGACTGACAACTGCTGGCACTTCTTACACCTTACTCTAGTGTAGTGTCTGTGGCTCACATATGAATGCAGAAAATGCCATGGGAAAATGCTCGGTATAACTAAGTTTCTTATTTTGAATCTTGCATGGGAAGGACATGGTATGGTATGGTATGGTAAGGTATGTTTCCACCTTTTTCTTTTTTAAAATGGCATCTAAAAGTCTGACCTTGCAAATTTATGAATAATACCGAGCAGAAAACAATCTTACTGGCTGTCAGGTTCTCCTGGCTTTTGCCAATTCCAACCACCACCACCTGCTTTACGCTCTCCTCGCTTTCTTTTACTTGCAGTAGATGGAAAATGAATTTCGGAGGTTAAGCATGGTCTCAAAGTTGACTGCTCATGGGATGTACCAGCTTTGAGCAAAGCATTTGGTTGAGGTACAGGAACTGCAGGCGGAGGATTAGTGCTTTCGTCTGCAATATTCTTCTCCGTGCCTAGGTTTTTCACTAAGGATTGATCATGATTCATCTTTAAAAGACACCCTCCTTCTACTTCAGCTGCTTCATTTTGTGCGAGGATGTTATCCACAATCTGTAAATATAGAATAACCCAAGTTATTAACTCATTGAAGGGCGGGCTAACTCAATGTAAGAATTGACTCATCCATCCAAAACATGCAATGCAGTAGTAAACAAAGAAATTAAGAGCACAGATGGGGGGGGGGGGGGGGGCGGGGGGGCGGAGGTCTATAGCTTGCTCCCAAACTTTCATGGGATTGCCAATTAGATATAGTCAATGTATCATCTGAATATCTCCTCGGAGTTGAAGATAGACTGCCCAACATCCCTCCCATACAATTAGTTCCCCCTAACCATAAGAGGTGACACATCATCTCTAATTTATCATATAAAAAATAGACTTATTTCAATCAATGAATTTTATCAATTTTTATAGATAATAAAATCAAGTGTCTTACTTTTTCACCAGAATCTCCAACCTGTGCCTGATGCTGGGTGGCATCAACAAACGAAAGAAATCCTGTGCTACTTTCACTTATGTCTGGAGGATTAGCCACCCCAAAGCTTGAAATTGCACCATCATGCATGATGGAATCTCCAAAATCATTGACACCTATGTGTTGAGTAGACGTGTATAAACATCCAACCGACACTGTCTCCCCATTGCAAGCAGAGAATGTGGGGTTACGAACAGAGCTGTCCTGTGCCTCATAAAATCCCAGGTTGCTCAGATTCTCAGAGGAAGAGAACTTCAATGCATTTTTGGCCATCACTGTATCAAGTTGAGCATTCAGTCTGTGAACCCTTGTATGTAGCAGTTCAATTTTCCGAAGGATCTGCTCTGGTAAATCATCACTGTGTTTGAGAATTGAAAAATCATCACTAACCAACTCGTCATGGGTGCTGGTATTGTGTTCCACCAATACTGTTACAAAAAGAAAGCAAACTGAGGGAGCAGCAAATGAATATCAATATCAATAAATAAATATTCCATAAAATTTCTCTCCAGTGAACAGTTGAGGAACACAAAACGAACACATATAAAAGATAATCCTCCTCAGACAAAGCAGAAGATGATGATCCACTCTAACATAATACAAACCTATGATGCACTCTCAATTATTGGATAACAGTATTATAAAAAGGCAAATGAGAGAGGCATGGATATGTGTGCAAGAAGTAGGATCTTCATCTAAATGTATAGGCAACTTATAAGATTCTGCAGGAAAAACACTAATGCTTTGACAATTTGAAAGTTTTTAACAAAAAAAATGAGTGCTTTTGGGGGACTTCAGTGGAACAAGTACAGAATTTGATATATGAATGGCCCCTAACTGTAAATTTAGTAGGTATGGTTTCAGCAATAGACTGTGGCAAACAGTTAGTAAAGAATACCGCAATTTTCTATGCTCTGCAAATCCATGATTTACATGATATATACGAAATCTAACATGTGATGAACATTATTCAATGTTTCATCACTTTTTGAAGGCGTAGAACATCAAGTGTACAACTTGGAAAAAGAATGCCTATTCATGGTAAGAAATAGGCATCAACTAAGGAAGAATCTTTTTTTTTTTTATCACAATTTTACTTAAATAAGGAAAGAACTTAGGAACCAAGGACTATGAAACCTATACATACCTACATTACTCAATTCATCGCCTGCAGAATTCCCATCTGGATCTGATTTCTTATTTTCTGTAATAAATACATATTAAAAGAAAATTTAATTACTCTGGCCAGAAACATCGATCGGTGTGCCCTGAAGAAGTAAAAGAGAAAGAAATCGTACCAAAGTAGGAGAAGAGCTTATGATTTGACATATATGACAATGTATCCATTCCTTCAGCTCTCTGTCGTTTCCTCCTCCTCTTCATGGCCTTTTTCTTTTCGCTTTGATGAATGTATGGTATTGATTTTGATCCAGAATCTTGTAGCAACATTTGATCTAATACCTGATGTTTTTCCCGATCATATGCAGCCATCTCTCTGTCATATTTTGTCACCTGTGATTTAAACTCCTTTAGTTTCACTTCTATCCACTTGCATCGCCACATTACAGGACTTACAAAGTTTCTCCAATGACTGGTCAACTTTTTCTTCCTGAAAAATGGAATTTGTCAGGAGAAGAAGGTGGTATAATCGAACTGTATTCGAAGAAAATTGTCAAGCAGAATTCTTTGTCTGAAAAGTTGAAAATATCCTAGTATATAAAAACTAGATTATTAAGAAGCTAGGGTGTAACATATGTACCATAACATAACAATATTTCTACCTCCACTGCTTAATGATACGTTGAAGTCAAACAATCTTCAACCAGAGAGTAATATTTTGTCAATGTAGGAAGCTTTAGTTATCGCTTTAAATTCTAAACCATTTAAAAGAGAAGAGAAACAAAAACCTTGAAGAACCTAAATAAACTGCCTACAAAGTGCAATAATTTATAAACAATCATATTATAAAGTCACGGATAGAGTGGATATTTCAAAACAAAATATTGTAATGAGTTGGTGGTGAAAGTGGGTGGACAGGGCTGATATATGTATATATACTTAGGCTTCATGGGATTACAGAAGATAATGCGGCAGAAATTTCTCTTGCATTCTCCTCTGTCAGTCACATCATTGTAAAATTATTCCCGGTGGCTTTTTTATATCTGGTTGCTTTTATAGTTTCTACTTTTCCTAATTACATGAAAAATGGTATGGAGACAGACACACGGAGAGATAGAGAGAGAGAGCAGAGAAGCATTTATTATATATTTAAAACCATATATACCTCAGAGGGAACAAACTTCCAAATCCATCAAATGAAGACCCTAAGCCACTTTCATTGCAGAATTGGGACTCAACTTCAGCATCACTTGGTCCAGAAAAATTATCATTACCAGATGTAGAGTCGGCAAATGAGCTTGAGTATTCTGTCTCATCTGGATCCTCCTTCGTAAGGATTCCAGGGACACTGCTTCTTGTAAATCCCGTCACGTCAACAGGAATACCGTCTTCATATGTTGTAGCTTTATTTTGCTTATCAAATTTACCTTCCATATGGGAGATTCTTCTGTTGAAGTTTCTTTATTCAGTTCAAAGCATTCCTTTCATAATCAGAAGGTACACCACACCATAAGCAGCAATTTCAAACAGAATTTGCTTTAGTCTCAGTCTTTATGGGAAGTAGGAACTGAAGCAATGCCACAAATATACCCAAGACCAACTATTGCTTCCTTAGCTTGATATAGCAGGGGGGAAATTAAGTTCTACTGAAACTTATTTGAATGGATGACATATCACTGGGACAGTTTGTCATATGTAATCTGTAACATGGAAGGAAATGAAAGAGAACATGAAACAATTTCTCCGAGGGGAAGCTGGAGCTGGAGAATTGGAATACGTACTGAGACTTGTAACCACTTGAAAATGCAAAACATGGCAAACAGACACTTTTAAAACAGAGAAAGAGAGAGTAAAGAACAATCTTTAAAAAAATCAAACAATTGGGATAAAAAAACATTACAGTGGTCAGCAACATTCTAAGACATGATCATTATATTATCAGACAAAAATTTCAGTAACTTGGGATTTTTCCAGGCAGTCTCCGTGGCAGTTCGATCTAATGTATGGCCACTGCTGGAAATCACTTAACATGAAAATGCCACCTTAGCTTGACAGAATGTACCATGTGTATCCAGCAAAAAAATGGGGCCTAATAGGATCCTCTTCCGTGCTGAGGATCTAAAAATTTTCTAGCCATATAAAAATTCCATGATTCTATGATTAAATTAAATATCAAACCATCCTGCCATTTCGATCATTGCCCCCAATGATTCTTGTATCAAAATTCTAGCTAGGGACTATTTTAATTTTGGAGTAGTAAGAGACAATGTGATGAGAATCCCTCACGGCATATATTCACCAATTGAAATTGAAATTGGAATAAAAGAACAAATTAAAGGAGCAATTAAGTTGGAATTTTCACAAAATGCACGAGTACGAATTTGAATAACCAAGAAAAAACAAAACACAAACAACATTAAAACTATGGGATACGAAACACAGAGCACCTAATGCATAGCCTCAGAAACGCAACCACAAAAACAAACAGCAGTTCAAAACCTTGAAACTTCACACCACTAGACATATCCAAGCTAGCAAGTGAAATTCAGTTCTCCCATTTTTGGCACGCAAGCACCCAAACCAAGCCATCATTTGAGCTGAAGAAGTACTTAAAGAGACAAATTAAAATGGTGATAGAACATACATGATCGGGAAGCAGTGTTCCCAAAACCCACATGCAAAGTAGAAAAACCAAAATCAAGCAAGGAACAGAAAGGAGCAGAGAATTGAGATGAAAAGCATGGAATTGAAGAACATGTAGGGATAGGGAGGAGTGGAAAGGTGAGAGAGAGAGAGAGAGAGCATGCAGAAATTATTTAGAGGCTTACCAGTGAGTGAGAGAGTTGGGGTCGGCGGCGACAAGAAAGAAAGAGAGTAGGGAAGAAGAAGTGGACGTTATGTTTATGTTTATATAACCACAACATGACCTAAGCCTCGCTCTCTTGACTTTCACGTACGCTTCCCGCTTTCTACTAGATGGGGTGGCAACGTAATATCATCCAAATTCCTCATTTTCCAATTCTACCCCCCACCCCCACCCCACCTTTAAAAAAAAAATAAAAAAATCATGCATTAAAAAAAAAGAAAAAAAAAAAGAGAGAGGAATATATATGGATGAGATGAGATGTGAATAGGGCTTCCATACAAACAATGCATTTTTATGTAATAAAAAATGTACCCGCATGGGTAGTTCAACTGGTCACATAGGTGAAATTTTGAAAGAATGATCAGGGTTTGAGTCCCATCAGCGGGCAACCTCTCAAAGTGAAGGGGGTTACTTGTGCGCAGTGAGCACAGGTGTGGGGTATACTCTCCTGTAAATCTCATCAGCAGGCAACCGGGTTGCTTGTGCGCAGTGAAAATCTCATCCAGGCAACCGGGTTGCTTGTGTGCAGTGAGCACAAGTATGGGGTATACTCTCGTGTAAAATCATCATCTCATGGGTCTCAATTCGTGAGACTCATCACACATGCTTAATACTCAAACTCACTGAGTTTACCTCTAATCAACTATCTTCCTAATAGAGCCGTTAAGTGGGCCGGCAGGGCGGCGCTCACCAAAGCCCGCCAATTTGGTGGGACTAACAACAGACGTTATGCCATGGAACCGTGTTAGTACACCGTTATCTTTTTTTTTTTTTTTTAATTTCTTAATTAATTGTGTGACTTTTCTTCTTTATTTTCACATTTTGCGGTTTCACTTTAATTTGAGGTGAACAAAGATTTCAGACATTCATAAATTATGAATTCATGCCTGCACATTCACTTTGGAACCATGTCTACACATTCCCGTCCGAAATCACGGACATTCATAAATTATGAATCCATGCCAGCACATTCACTTTAGAACCATGCCTACACATTCACTTTAGAACCATGAGATTATGAATTTTCTGTTATAAGATTATGAATTTTCTGTTATGAGATTATGAATTTTCAGTTATGAGATTATGCATTTTCTGTTATGCGATTATGAATTTTCTGTTATGAGATTATGAATTTTCATTACATTCATAATTTCGGACATTCATAAATTATGAATTCATGCCTACACATTCACTTTGGAACCATGCCTACATATTCCCGTCCGAAATCACGGACATTCATAAATTATGAATCCATGCCTGCACATTCACTTTGGAACCATGCCTACACATTCACTTTGGAACCATGAGATTATGAATTTTCTGTTATAAGATTATGAATTTTCTGTTATGAGATTATGAATTTTCAGTTGTGAGATTATGAATTTTCTGTTATGCGATTATGAATTTTCTGTTATGAAATTATGAATTTTCATAAAATTCATAATCTCATAACAGAAAATTCATAATTTGATCAAACGCGCGCCGTTAACTCCACATCCGCGATTTTTTTTTTTTTTTTTTTTGTCTAAAAACGACGTCGTTTTGCCTTGTGTTCACCATTCTCGGTGAACACGATTCCATGGCATAATTTGCAGACTAACAAAGGTCGGGCTGCGGGTTTTAGTGGGGCCCGATAAAATTTAAAAACTTTACATTAAGTGTATATTAAAATAATTTGGATATTTAAAACATATATTAATGTATTTGTAATTTGTTAAAAAAACACTAATAACTACTCTCTGTCTCATTTTATGTTTTTGGTTCGATTAACAATGTTTGATTGAAGTTATTTTTTAACTCAATTTTTCATAATATTAAGTTTAGTATTAGTATACAAAATTTATATATTTAGAAACTACACTAAAAGTACTATTAAACACAAAAAATAAATTTAATTAAAAATAAGTAAAAATTATTAAAGAAAATAAACAAAGAATAAAATGAGACAGATGGAATAATAAGTAATAACTAATAAGTTTTAATAAATAGTCAAATATATAAATGCATCAATCCATAAGTCAATAATAAATAATTTATACAATGCACAAAATTACTAATACATTTTTTAATATTAAAAAAAAAACACACACACACACTAATGTTAGTAATGTACACACACTAGGCAAATTTGGTGGCCCTCGCTGGCTCGCTGGCTCGCTCATCCATTTTGGTGGGGTGGGACAGACTAATTAAATCTGTTTTGACGGCTCTACTTCTTGAGTCATAATCTTCTCCGACAATCATCGCCTCCTCCGCCTCCCATTCAGCTTCTCTTATAGGGGTGTGCAAACTTCGGATAATTTTCAGTTAACCGGCAAAGTTCGGTTAACTTTTTTTTAACCGAATTTTTTCGGTTTGGTTAATAATTAAAAGATTTTTCCAAAGTTCGATTAACGGTTAATTCGGTTCGAAAGTGTCGGTTAACTGAACTTTTTAATATATATATATAATGTATTAAATATTTAAATGTAATATGTTTATAGTGTTGTTACGGTATTGTTTTTGTATATTTTGTTATGAATTTATTATGATATGTATTATTTTAATTGAATTTATTATTTTAGGTGTTATTTTTAGAATTTTAAATTTTAACTTAAAAAAGTTCAGTTAATCGGTTAACCGAAAAAAAAATTTCAGTTCGATTAATTCGGTAACACAAATTTTGGTTCGATTAACGATTAAAAATTTAAAAACTTCTGTTAAATCGGTTCAGTTAAAACGGTTTGGTTAACCGATTGAACACCCCTACTCTCTTCCGCCTCGTTTGAGCTTCTCATCCACCTCCTTCGTCTCAATCGAGCTCCTTCACCGTTCTGTCTTTTTATGTCAACGGACCTCCTCCGCATCTTCTTCAGCTCCTTCGAGCAATATTAGGGCCATTAGGGTGAGCCCTAGTTCCCAACCTAAAAATTCTCTCAATAAAGGTAAAAATATCTTCCTTTTGAAAATTTTCATAATTTCATAATTTCATAATTTTATTGAAAATTACTGCAATTCAGTAGAAAAGTATTACCAATTTTGATTAAAATATAGAATTTTTTAGTTTATATGATATTATTGTATGTAGCACAAAACATTACCAAATGGAAGGTGGTAGTTTTTCTTTTTCTTAGCGCTAGGATGTAGCTACAGTTGATGAACACCACAATCATTCTACAATATGGTAAACAATGAAGGTAAGAAATTGTATTAAATTACACTTTGATTTTAATAGAAAATGTATTACATTTAAATTTAAATTAAAGTTAATAAAGTAACAAATCTATATTCAAGTATTGTGCTACAATAATGTTGTTTAGTATTATGATATGTTGTTCATTGTACTTTAATTTACATGACAAGATTAAAAAAATACTCAGTACTTTATAATGAATTTTTATGTCGTTATTATTTTTAGTAGTACATAAATGTTACTAATATGGAGAGTGAATGTCCATCCCTTTTTGAACAAATAGAAAAAAAATGTTGTATCTGTTCATAAATGTGATCATTTTACATCTGCAGACAATGAAAGTAATAAAATGTATTACATTTCACTTTAAAAGTATGACATTTACAGTAAATTGTATTAAAATTTATCTTAGGAGTATTACATTACTAACTACATTCAAATTCTTGAAAAGTTATGCATTTCTAGGTCAAAAAGTAACAATAATATTTGGCATAATTATTGCAGATAATGAAGTTGACAAAAATGGTTCCCTTGAAGGCTTGAAAAGAAAAACCTTGATGAAATGTATGATTTGTATGTATGCCAAACATAATCCTTCCATTGGATTTAGCATCCGTAAATCAACCACAAGGATACATAGCAATATTGTAGTTGATAAATATTTTGTGTGTTCTAGTTAAGGAACAAGAAAATTTAAGAATCTTGCTGAGCAAAGTTATAATTCTTCATCAAAAGGTATTAGAAAAAGGTAAGCATAACAAGCTTAAATAATGAATAGGATATGTTTACACGGGCTAAGACATGAGTGTGCAAGTGCCTATATATATATATATAGAAAACATAATGCAATTTGACGTTGTATAAAAAAAATTGCAGAAGAGTTTCATGGTACGTCTACATACTCAATATATACCTACTTTTGCATGTGACGAATATATTATTTTATTAAAAAAATTGCACTTTTCGTTTCTAAGTTATAAAGTAATTGTAGAATTCGTCTTAGTCATGCTCACTTTTCGTCTCTAAGTTATTATGGTCGTTGCACTTTTCGTGCTGACTTTTTGTCCGTGAGTTATACTAAAATTGCAAATTTTGTCCATAATGTTTTATTAATAAAAGGACGAAAAGTGCAACGTTAAAGATAACATATGAACGAAAAGTGAGTATGACCAATACTTAGAGACGAAATCTACAATTATCCTATCCTATAACTTAAGGACGAGAAGTGCAATTTTTTCTATTTTATATTTAATAGAATTACACACGTGATCTCTTTTAGTTGGATTTTGATTTGCACCCCCTCCCCCGCACAAAAGAACCTCTATGCTATACAATTCTACAAGTTTCAAAAGAGCTCATGTATATAAGGGGAGCAAATCTTGTTTCCAAACCAATGTGGGACAAAGTCCACTATTTTCCTTCATTTCCCAACTCAAATGGGTCTACTTTGAGAATCAATATCTCATTCACCCATTATCCGTTTTGAGCGTACAATATATCAATCTCTTCGTCTCACTACGAAGTACCCGAATCCACTTTGGCCCGACCCAAATCGAAAGTGGACCACTGATAATTGTACCACAAAATAACCACTTAATATGTCATTTTATGCCATTTTAAGCTAATTTTTCCAACAATAACAACATTTAAAAAGATATATTTTTTTTTAAATCAGTTTAAAAAAAAAAAAAAAAATTGTTGTAGCAACAACATGACGTGACATCCAATTAAAAATAGGTAAAAGGGGCTCAATTGCACTTCTTCTTGAATTCAATGAGTGACAACTCTTTTGATGAAGATCACAACGCCTAATTATAAAGTTACATATGTCAAAATTAAAATATTTTGGAATTCAAAGTTACAGCACATAGCTTCTCTCATGCCTTACTAAGAATCCGA